ACCCACGTAGAGTAAAAGTTGGATGCCACGGCCTCGTTTAATCGCATAACGGAGAGCGAGCGCGAATAAGGCAGTAAATGGAAGTCGCAGGCGGGCTCGTTTAATCCTCGGTCAAGATTTAACCTATGGGGGTTAGTCTGATTCGCACTTAACAGCCCTCAACTTGATTATGCGTTCACTTTGGCACTACTAATTAAACAGGCTTGCTGCAACGAATCGATCGATCTTGAAACTTCAACTGGGCTCGACCACTTGCTAACGGTCAGTCCGACCAAGACTGATATTTCGATCGCGCTGTCTCATCCTGAACGAGCGATAAATCCCCCATTTCACTTTGTAGAGAATATAAAAGAACACAGGCAATAGAGATATAGAGTAGAGATTTGCCGCAAACATCGAAATACTTCTTTTTATCCTTAGTCGCAGTCATCCTTTTTGTCAGAGATAAAAAACTAAAACTAATAGACGATGTTACACTACAATGACACAATATATTCTAGATAAAAATCTTGATAAAACCTAAACTCAGTTAAAATCAAATCAATGGTTTGATTTTTTTTTTCAATATATTAAGATAATCTTTGATATAGACATTGAATGTAATCGATATTATTGCGTAATATCTTATATCACGTTTATTGATTTCTTCATAATCACTTTTAATCAAATTATTTCTTCGAATGACGTTGATTCTATTCGGAATTTTTCTATTAGGAACTTTCTGTAATTACGTAATTTACTAAAACTTGAACTTTTCAACAAACGTGACTTATATATCAAAACTATAGCAAAACTAGCAAACGGAAAATCGAATTTAACATAGACACATATCAGATTCCGACTGACTATGAGATATCGCAATCTCGAATCGCAGATATTTTTCTCCGAATGAATATCGATGTATGAAAAACGCGACTCTATCATCAAATACCTTTCTTCGCCTCTTCTGCATTTTTAACAATACTTTTTTGTGCTTTATTAATCGCCATTCTGCATGGTCGCGTCCTTTTTATCAAGAGTAAAAGCTAGATTGAACCAATCCTGTACAATGTAACGTTCTGACACAATATGTTGCGCAAATTTAAATACAAATCAAAATACAATTCGATTAAATTTCTTCAATGTATTGAGACAATCTTCGATATAGACATTACATAACTAGATTACATAATATTTCATATTGCAACACCGTTTTAGGTTTCTTTACAAAGGTTATCATTTGCAACGTTTTTTCGATTGATATTGCTTCTATTCGTAGAAAGTTTCTATAATCATCTTCACTTTCAGATTCACTAAAGTCTTTTAATAAATTTTTAAGCTTAAGCTTCTTAATAAATTTTTGCGCGTATACTATTGTTACTTTTCAAATTTGTTTGCATTATCGTTCACATTTTTTATATATATTTTTAAATATGTGCTTACAATTATACAAAAAGACTTGGAGAGTGTATCTGTATTACTCTTAATAGTTTTCAAAAGAAAGGGAATCAATGCGCAAGACAAATAGCGTACAATAATGGTGAGTTACTGTAGGAATGTTTTCATATTAATATTATGGACGTAATAAATTTCATCAATAATATTTATCATGTGAGAGTCGTATAAGAGAATCAGCAAAACAATCATTATTTATTATTAATAAATATTATCAATATTTGTCAACTATTTACAAGTGCGATAAATGCGATAAATATTGAAGGATCATCCATTATACTCGTATTGATAAAAAAAATATCAGTTGAAACATATTGATACATGACCATTGAAATAAATTGACAGAATTCGCATATTTTTCTTGTACTGTGTATTTTTTGTACTTGTTAAATTAATATTGACAACATTGATAACGTATAGACACATATATTTTTTTATGGCTGAAACCTTTTTTCAAGTACATCTTGAAATCTGGGTAAATGGGACGTGAATATTGACTCATATTCGTATCACATATTTAACATCGGATACGGCTGCACGATTTTTAATTCATCGTAACATTGTATATCGTTATACATTAGGCAAATTAAACTTGTCAGCTTCAAACGAGCACACTTGGTGCTAAATATCAGATACAAATGCGCGGACTATTAATACTGAATGATGCATGCGACGCAAATCAAATTAATCCATTTACCTTACGTACGGGTAAAAAATCGAAGGTTTTTTTTTCGTAAACAAGAATATTCGCGATGATACGTCCTCGTATTTTAACGAGCTCTAAATATTGAAAGAGTATCCCGAAATAAATGATCATTGGCGTTATTATTAGAAAAAGCTTCAGAACGATTTAAATTATCATTCTTATCATGAAGTTGAATAAAATTTAAAGAAAAACCCTATATTATACAGCAATAATTCAACGAACACGATCTCTAATTTTATTAGCCTCTTTGTTAAGTCAAGATTAGATTTGATAAACTATATCCGCATGAAGCGGACTCTTTTCAAGCCCATTTTAGACGTTCTATAATTCGCGTCAGACTTCAGAGTAGAATTCTATTTATATTTATATATGTCATACATTTTAATATGTACATTTGTAGTTAAATGTATATTTTATACGTGGTTATAGTCTAATAATTTTCAAATGTGTGTTTTTTTTGTACTATACGGCATATGAAATTCTAAATAAAATTCTATTTTGAATTCTGGTACCAATTATAGATCATATAAAAATAACTTTATACGGTGCATAAAATTATAGATAGAATTTTATCTTGGATTTTATAACACGAATTATAAATCGTCTAAAGCAGGCTTTATCACGATCGGTATACTGACGATGGGTAACATTTTGCAGTCAGAGTTGCATGCATATACATCCGAGATTCGAACCGCTGCGGCTAATAAACGTGTTTGAGGTACGCACATACCGCATGACGGAATCTGCACATTGAGTTACCATCCAGCGGGCCGAAATTAATATTCATGCAACGTGTGTAACATCAGCATTGCTAATTATAAGTTCGCGGGAAATGTTTATTAACTGTTAATAAATTTTCTTTGATCTTATGCTTAACACTGCGTGCATTATATAAAGTGCATTAAATTAATAAACGATGCGAAAGAAAGGAAGAGAAAGAGAGAGAAATTCTTTCGATTGCAACTTTATTGGAAATGATTTGCCGTATTTTTACTTTCTTGCCTGAACTGTTCTAGATTCAGATATAAATGTTCAGATGTCCTCCTTTTATTTTCACATATGCTTGATATGTTCACACAATTGCGAGTTTTTCCAAAGATTCTTCGCTTTGTAACGTTGGATATTTTTCGTATTATAACGGTACCTAATCTCTCTCTCTCTCTCTCTCTCTCTCTCTCTCTCTCTCTCTCTC